TACAAATGTGTAATGACATAACATTTTTCATAAGCTGATATAGAACATTTTTATCATTTTTAATTTCTCATATTATACACCAATTTACTTAAAAACTAGCAATTCGATTTCAAATTTTAAATTTGTTAATTTAATACTATTTGATAGCAGACAATTATGAGTGTATAATTATATGGAAATCTACTGAATAAAAAATCTATGGCAAGTACATATTTATGCAAGTAATTTACTTTAATTATGCAAGGTCGATAAACAACGTGTATCAAGATATAATGTTAAAATTTACAATATTTTACATGTGCATTTGCAATCTATTAAATCATTTTTATACCATACAACATTTCAAAAAAACTTCTCGCAATATAGCTTTCTTTGCTTCTTATTGTCTTTAGTAATATACACTGCTCATTATTGGAAATAAGGGCGGAATATGTAAGATGAAATATTAATAATATTTCAGGAACCGACATAATTAAGTTTTTAATTTAATAAAGAGTACATATTATACAATAACTATTGTTGTATCATCACAAATTCAAATATTTGGTAATTAATGTGTTTGCACAAGTATAAACTTTTGCTGTATCATGTATAACTCTGTATAATGACATATGTATTTTCACGTTTTAATCAAATTGCACTTGATGCATTGGTATTTTATATCGGAAAATAGCGGAAATTGCTATTACTATATTTCATTTTACTTTGAAGTTTTGTAATTTTTGCATAATATTTATGTACTCCTTATTTTGGTCAAATAATCTACCCTAATTACTACGTTCACTAACTTCGGCATTACCTGCATTGCAAATGAAGAAACATAATAATTTGTCCCATTGGTCAGTTCACGTTTACTCATATAATAGCATATTAAATAAAGAAATATATTGGTATCATGTTCTACATAACGAGACATATGGTTTGTAATCAACAACACAAATTTAAAATATAATATGTTGATATGATGCAAAATTAGGACCTAATGGACCGATTCTGCCGCATAACAGACCAATGTTATGGCAAGGCAATGTTATGAAGAAATTTCCATACTAATTCGTTTCAAAAATTGACATGTGGTTACTGTGCAGTCAAGCGTTTTTCTCAGGTTGTCAGATAGAAAACCTGAACTAGAAACCACAGAATTGTCAAGAAACGTTTTAGATAACAGGGTCTCAGCACAGCAAATACATGACATTTTGACAGTATTCAGTATGATTCAGTAGCATAATGTATTGAAGTTGGAGCGTAACATGGCCTTGCCATGACATTGGTCTATTGTGCGGCAGAATCGGCCCAGAAATTTTGACAGCTAGTTACCTATCAATAATTGCAGAAATAATAAAACAAAACTGTTTAGGCGTCTTTCACATATGACTACAAAATATAACTTCAAACGCATATTCGAGGGAAACTTAATATTTAATCGGCCTAGCGTTTTTCGATTTAATGTTTAATTATTTCCGAAATTTAGATCCACAAATGCGATGAATATATATATATATATATATATATATATATATATAATACACAAGATAAGAACTATATCTTGTGCCAAAGTCCACAAATCTAAATTATTCAAATCTCTTATCACTCTACTTCTGATTAAAGAAAGTATTGGACATAATGTAGAAAACTAAAGAATTAGGTTGATGTCATCGTTGATTATTGTTATTATTATTTGCCGATGATCTTAATCTAGCAGTCACACAATCTTCCGCTTTTAAATGCGATTTGTTGTTATTATTAATGCTTGACTGCACTATTGAAGTTACACTATTATTGTTCGAAACTATACCCCCCACACTAGTAATTGCCAAGTTATTATTGACTGTCATTTTTACAGGATGCGGTGCTATTTTAACCGGTGTCTTTGAAATCTGGCGGGCCGCATTGGGCTGCGTTAATTTTGATGATCGTATCGTTGGTTTCGGCTGAACTCTCTGCTGTTGTATTTGATGCTGATCTTTGCATATGGATTTATTACTTATAGGCATATGATCCAATTCTGCCATGGCTTCTTGAATCGCGTTTTCTAGTTGAGTATTCAGTTTTCTGCTTCTGGTAAATTATAATTATTTAAATTATTTGATCGATTTTATTATTATTAATAAATAGATATATGTATATAGATATAATTATCATTTTTTAAAATTATAAGAACAATAATTTTGTTCAAACTAAATTGATAATTTTATAAATATTACATATAAATTTTATCTGTAACATTTGGTATAATAATAATCGCAAAGCGTACTGCTTCATCAGTCTTCTGTGTCACCATACGCAAGCCATCAAATCTCAAATATTATTTTACTAAATAAGCTTAAACAAATTACAACTTAAACAAACTCTTACTTTATTGAAAAAACACTAACAAAAAAACTGCATAATAGTTCACCAGTGGCAAAATTTTATAGGTTACCAAAATCTTATTAGAATAACGTGATGCATATAATGATACGAATTTACAACAAAGTTACAAAATACCTACGAAAATCGAAGCACATTAACTACAAAATAAACCATACTATAATATCATACAATATTTATACTTGTGTTTAATTTTTTTGAAAAACACTACTGACTTACGGTTAATAATGCGATGTTAAACATCACATTTCAGCCTCTTGTGAATATTTGGCATAACAGTTTTTCTAACTTAATATGTTCGCAACCTAAGAATTGTATCTATGACTTTCTGCAAATTATACATCTACACATTATTAAATCTTGGTGATTCGAGTTGTGATCAGCTGATTTAAAATTAATTTAGAAAAAATTTCATCTAAACATCATCATAAGTAATTTACGTTAATATATAATTAAATACAATAAATATATGGTTCAAATTTACTATAAACTATCAATAAACTCGTGGTCGTTATGTTCTCATTTTTAGATACTCTGCAATATTATCAAAGCATATATGTATTTGCAATTAATCAATCAATTAACATGTACTTAGGTTTAAATTCCCACTTATTGTGTAGACGTTCAACCTGTGTTTATTGAAACTGTATCAAATATAAATATTATTTAATTCATTTCAAAACCGAAATTGTACGCAAAATAATATATACTCTCCTAAAACTGAAATAGAATTTAACAAGTTAGTTGCGATTATGTGAAAATGACATAATTTGTAGTATTAAATTCATTGTTTTAAAACGATAATACTGGATACATTACAGAATCTCAAACTAAATCAGTGTAGTTCTGATTAACAGTATATTTTAGGTTTAATGATCATTTTCAAAATAAGCTCCATATAACAGCATAATGAATGCTTCAAATAATTATCACGAAACGAAAGTATGACGAATGGACTCAAGTATATGTTGAGAATTTTTGCACAGATATATATAGTTTTATTAAAAATATATGCTAATTGGGAGAATCGTATCACAACTCGAACCTCCCTTCAGGCCTTAAGGCTTAACCGAAGGCAACTCACTTCCTAGCAGCTCTCCTTGCACTGTGATGGGCATCCAGCCCTTCAGATAAACTCTGCAAAGAAGTCCGCGAAACCAATTCCACAGCGCGTCTGCCGCCATACCAACGAACCCAAACAGCATCTTTAGGCTGGACATCAATATTATTATCCGAAGGCGGTTCTATTATTTTTCCAGGCCATGCTGGAAAACCGCGTGCAGAACCCCAAACCAGGTCCCCCACTTGCAGGTTCGAGGATTGCGGAGAAGTTACCTTAACGCAGCTGATGGAGGTTAATTCCTGGTTTTTCTTTATGTCCAGCTCTCTGCTTGTGTTTTCCGCTGAAGATATTAGTTGATTTGGATTTGGTTTGTTTGACTTACTCTTCTTGTTTTGTATTGTTAGTTACATTTATCGAAAGCCAATTATGATATGTAATTATGAGCGCAGTGCATGATTATGAATTGGAACACAAAGAATTCTTGTTCTCCATTAATTTTATAAAGCCAATGAATTCTCTCCACTTCAAAATTTCATAAAAACCACAACCATGGTGATTAAAAGCCATTCAAATATTACATAAACATTGAAAATAAGACGAAGTTATGCATCTTTTGCTTACAACGGTAATAACAGAATGTAATATTTGATAATGCCTTATACAAAACAGAAGTTTTACTGATTTATATGCTTCGTGGGCCCCTTTTTATGAAAAGTAATAAAGTTAACCTTGATGTTTTCAGTCAGATTTGATTCGATATTAACAATTCTTAGATGATGTAAGTGCATTTATGTGAGTTTCTAAAATTTTGTGGTACTTTAATCTAATAAATCATCGCTTAAATATTGCTTGAGACTGCTTAAATATTACATAAATTAACATTTATACAATTTTGATGAACCATATTTCCGGCATTAATGGAAAAAAATGTGCGTATACCTTTGATGAAAGTTTTTTAATTCTCAAAGAATGATTTTTTTAATAATCCTGAATAAAACTGTGGCGGTGACAAGTAAATTTAGAAATTTTGTAAAACAAGTGTGAATGCGTTTGCATATATCTCACAAACAGAGGCATATGAATATGATATATATATATATATATATATATATATATATATATATATATATATAGAAATGTAGTGTTGAGGTGGTCATAAAATGCTAAAACAAAAGGCTGAAACATGATCGCATTATATAAAATCACTTTATACAAAAATTTAATGTGTGTGCTATGACAAATCATAAATGGAAGCATGCATATAAAGTAACGTGCAACGTGTGGAACAAATATTAATTATTTGTTATCAATGTCTGAATCGTATATTCATATAGTAATATTATATATAAGTTAAAGTAACCATGCAAATATAAATTAAATAATCATGCTGAAAACTAAACTCATATATATGGTAAATGTATATAAGTTCAAAAAGCAGCGAATACAAGATATATAGCTGTCACAAAACTGTGTAAAATTATTTATGTAAGTATATTATATAAATGAGTATCAATAAAAGAAAATAACTTACCATTAGATTCAATCTTGTGTTGAATTCCGTGATTCATCATATTGTTACTAAACTGCATTTGATTACATTGCGTGTGCCGGAGTTTTAATTCAGTCTGATAACTTATTGACTTAGCATTGCGAACATACATATTTCCTAAAATTATTCAAATATTTCAGAATAAACAGTAACTATATAGAATAAGCATTCACAATTTATACCTCTTTGAGATTGCTCACAAAAGTCTTCAGGAGAATTTCCTCCATCAGCACTAGGCGAAACTACAGAATCTGGCTCAGAACTAGTTATGCAATGTACCATAGCCTAAACACAAACAAAAATTGCTCGCAATTGATAAACTTAAGAAATATCAAATATATATATATATATATATATATATATATATTTTGTCAATCAAAACTTTATTCAAGTTATATCAAATATATAACCACAATTATTTGTCAAGTTTACTAACCATTGCATGTCGATCATTAAATCCCTGCGGGGTAAGCGGCCTATCAGGACTTCTAGGTGAATGTGTAGTCGTATCAGGAGGTGGCAAACTTGAAATTTGCTGCTGCTGCTGATTCTGTTGTCCTGCTGTTTGTGTCGAAACGGAAGAAATGTTCATTCCATTGTCGCAATTTAATTGCTGTTGATTTTTTACAGCATGAAACATAAACTGATGCTGTTGTTGTTGATGCTCACTACCCTGCGGTCTGTTGTGTTGCGTATTCTGCTGATGCTGATTTTGAAGCTGATGATTTTGATCTTGAAAGTTTAGTTGTTGCACATTCTGTTGCTGCACTGGTTGTTGATTGATTTGTTGTGTATGGATATGACTTTGTTGCAGTTGAAGGTGCTGTTGCATTTGTTGATTATTATTTTGCTGAGGCGATTGTTGTACAAGATACTGGGTTCCATTATTATCTATCGTTACGCTATTTTGATGTTGTTGCTGTTGTTGCTGCTGAATTACAAACTGTTGTTGTTGAGCTCCATGTTGATTTTGTGATTGCAAATTTGTTACAGTGTTTTGCTCAACATGATGATTTGTATTTACAGTTTGAACAACGTTGTATTTATGTCGTACGGTTGATGTGCTTTCTCCGTTAGTGACTGGAATTATAAAATTTGATTGCTGTTGCTGCCTTTGGGTATTTTGTTGATTGGCTATGGCATTTCCAGATTCCATCATCTGACTGTTATTAACAGATTGTAAAAGAAATTGCGATGAATTGTTTGCTCCGGCTGTGTTAACGTTCTGGTCATTGCCGGTTGATGAATTATTATTACTCATCATAGTAGTCTGTTGTTGAACTATAGTGGTATTCTGCTGAACAAATGTCTGGGTATTGTTCTGTTGCTGAACACTTCCAGATTGCGTAGGAACAACAACACCAACAGAACCTCCATATAAATTAACATTTTGCCCAGGGCTAACATTTGTCACTAAAGGACTGACTTGGCCATTTTGCACTATGAACTGTCCTCCGCCGGGAGATATAAAATTCTTAGCTTGTGGATTAGGTGCTCTTAAAATTACACCCCCACCAGGACCTGTCGTCAAAATACTTTGGCAAGGCGTTATCATATTTTGACCATTGACATTTTGAATTTGCAGTTGTAAAGGCACAGAAGTAGCATCTTGTAAAATACCGGCATCTTGAGTCATTACCAATTGAGGCATAATCAATTGCTGTACTGTTGGTCCCAAAATATTTAATGGTTGTAAAAGATTAATATGCGGAGTTTGAAAAGAATTTTGAGTGGTACCTTGATTATTAACTAAAATTTGTGATGGAGCAGATTTATTACTAACTAAAGTAAGACCGCCGATTCCTGGAGATAATTGAAAACCTTGCGGTGTGAACTGTGATGAGACATTTTGTTGTATTTGCACCATCGACGGAACAGGTTGCTGTTGCTGCGTTGCTTGTTGTGACTGCAATTGACTCGTTGGTTTACGCTTTTTAGCCTTTCGTTTTGATTCTGGAGATAAAACATTAGCTCGAGTTGTAAATTGGTTATTATTTGAATTTCGTAAAACATCCTGATCGACAACCGGTTGCTGATGAATCACATTACCAACTATATGTGTGCCATCTACTGTAGTGAATCCTTGTTGCAATACAAATGGACCGGGCATAGCGTTGACTAAAACGGTCTGTTGCCCAAGCATTCCAGTACTATTTTGCAATACTCCTCCATTATTTGTAACAAGATTTTGATTATTTTGCAACAAGTTTGAGCCACCTATCACAACGTTACTACCGTTATTCCCTACCATTCCTTGAACAACATTTGGATTCTGAATTGCAGTGTTACCGTTTTGAAGTTGAGCGTTTAAACTCTGTCCATTACTCAAAATTCCTTGATTTGATACAATGTTTTGATTGCTTCCTATTATAACACCTGCATTATTTAAATTTGCATTTGCCAGATTTCCTTGATTTGTTACAAGAAGATTGTTACCAGAAGTGTTACTGCTAGCTACCAGTACATTATTTGGCGCGTTATTTGCTATCACGGTATTACCAACAATATTTCCGCTACCATTCATGATTTGAACATTACTACTAGTGTTCTGAATCATTCCATTGCTGCCGACAATAATACTTTTCGGAGCAGGTGGTGGCATGAGACTAGTGCCTGGAAAGTTACCACTCATCAAGATTTGACCACCAGAAGAGACTAATATATGGCCAGAATTGTAGTTTTGTGGTACTTTTGCAGTTTGCAATAATTGCTGATTATTAGTTTGCAAATTGTGTATGATATTTTGTTGTTGATGAGCTGCATTGGGCGTTCCATTTTGCTGTTGTGATTGAATATTTTGCTGAGCAGCTAACTGTTGGGACACAATTTGCCCCCCATTATTATTCACTAGAGTTTGATTTTGAATATTAATGCCTCCCAAGGCATTATGAACAAGACCAGCTTGCTGAACAACTGTATTCGTTCCTGATTGATTGTTTTGAATAGGTATATTCTGCACAAATTGAATATTACCTGATGGCAATCTTGTCATCTGAATACCACCATTAGTAAATTGGGTGGCGTTCCCTAGCACTTGCACATTACTATTGCTGTTAATAGATTGAGAATTATTCGATGAATTGATTTGAATATTTCCCAGAGTAAGATTTCCGCTTTGAACTAATCTTGTACTATTATTTTGGTTGAATACTTGATTTGGCTGCAGTTGATTTTGTACTGGCGAAGAATTTCCACTTACAGATGTAGTAGCGGTTTGTGCACGACCAGCTAAAACCGATGTTATAGTATTCCTAGCGACTGTACTTCCAGCAGCCATAACCGGATGTAATTTTGTTGCAGAACTAGGTATAGATTGCTTACTTAAAGTAACAGGGCTCGGTGCATAGCACGATGTCGTTACGGTATATCCGATATTTATATCATTTTGCAAATTAGGATTTGGTGATCGATCACTACTTGGAGTATCGGATCCCCTAGAACTCAAGGATGGCGTTGGCGAAGGAGAAGGCATCAGTTCTGGTGGCGATTTATGACTCGTAGATACGGTACCACCTTGAATAGGTCCCTTACTATTGCAATCTGGAGAAGCAACACTATCCATTGGTGTTGCTGTACTAAATGTGCTAGATGTTACAGGATCTTCTTCCTTAACTGTTATAGCCTCCATAAAATCCATATTTTTGGGTAAAGTATGAACATGAAAACTGCCGTCTTCACTATTTCCAGAACCATTTTCTTCTTCACTACTACTGCAAGAGCGGCAGTTTTGCAAAATTTGAGCGTTTAGTACTGCTTTATGCATAACAGCAGCATTTGAAAGTTTAATTTCTTGATTATGGGAATTATTTTGGTTATTCAGTTGCTGGTTTAAGGCAGGTGTCGAGGACTTTTGAATATGCCTCGTGAACTGGGCCAAAGAATTATTAGAATCTTGCGAACTAGGACTATCATCTATCCTGTCACAAATAGAATTTTCTAGTTGCTGCCTATGCATGGTATTATTTAACAAAGCTGTTTGCTGAGCTAAATATCCAGTTGGGTCTTCCATAAAAGATGGTGTTCTGTACGGATCTTGAGATTGCATATCACGTACATCAACGTTTGGACATACATTTATAGTATTACGTGGCTTCTTGGCTTTTCGAGAAGGTGCCTGTTTCTTTTTATTTTCAGTAATTGAAACCTGGTTTGTCCAATTAACAGATTGTGCTTGCGACTGTTGTTGGAATTGTATATGTTGCTGTATCGGAGGGACACGCTCATTGCTACTGAGTATCCTTTGTTGATTCTGCTTCCAAGGAGGTTGAGTAGGAGTTCTAACTGAATTTTGTATTGACTCTTTTTCGTGAACACTATGTTGCTGTTGATTTTGTGTGCTCTGAGTCTGTACATTTTCAATTTTCATCAATGGCGATGGTGATATATTGGAATTTAAAATTTGTTGTTGGAGCCTGTGTTGTATCTGCTGCTGCTGTTGTAAGCAATGGTTTTGTAAAAATCGTTGCTGCCTCTGTGAATTATTTTGATGTGCATTACTGTGTTGGCTAATAGAGTTAGGGTTATGTTGAGTAATGGTATCACAATGACTAACAGTATCTGTTTGAAGTTGAATGTCTGAATCCTCGAGATGCGAACCACTACTATTTGCTTGCTGAGCTAAATTACCGGACTGTAAAATTTGATTCTGCTGTAAAACATTTTGATGCTGCATTTGACTATATTGATGCATATGATTCTGTTGCTGTATTTGATTTTGTTGTTGCACATGGTTTTGTTGTTGCATTTGATTTAGGTGTTGAGCCTGATTTTGCTGTTGCAGTTGATTATCTTGCTGGTGAAAGTTTTGTTGTTGATGCTGTAATTGTTGATTTTGCTGTTGTTGATGAACAAGCTGTTGCTCGTGTACAAATTGTTGTCGCAGCTGCTGTTGTTGTCGAATATGATGTTGCATTTGCTGCATATGCGAATTATTTTGCACCATATGTTCTTGTTCTGATAAATGTACGTTTTGTTGCAACATGCAATGTTGATCAGATTGCTGTTGCATCATAGCTGAATCATTATTATTATGTACTTCAATTTGCTGTTGTGTACTTTGTTGTTGCTTCTGGTTAGCATGTTGCATTGGCATAGTTTGAGATTGCACACTCATTTGTGGTTGCATTTGTTGCAGTGACAAATGCTGTGCTGAAGAAATATTTTGTATACTTTCAGATTGCGGCAACTGTGGCTGGTAATCAATAGACTCTCCAGTTTGTTGATGATATCCGGTCGATTGTTGTGGGGTGTAACCTATATTTGATTGCATATGTTGATGTTGAAGTCGCATTGTATTACTTTGATGAATATTTTGTTGTTGCTGTAAATGTTGGTGAATTTGATGTTGTAGCTGCCTTTGTTGTTCATGTTGAATATAAAGTTGTTGCTGTTGCTGTTGTGTCATATGAGGCATTTGTTGCTGATTAGACATGTGCGAAATTTGCTGTTGTTGTTGCGATAATGTATGCTGCGCAATTTGGTCATTCTGTTGGACTACCATTTGCGAATTCTGTTGTTGGTGGACGTTGATTTGATTCATTGATGGTATCATATTCTGTTGCTGCTGCGCTAACATTTGTTGAGCCATTTGCGGCTGTTGCTGCATATGATTGTTCATCACAGCTTGTTCCTGATTTATTAATGCGGGGTTGGCATTAATAGTCATTGTATTATTGGACCAGTCTTCGGTAGATCGTTTTCTCCGCTTAGCACCCACATCTAGAAGAAAAATAATGTTAACTTACAAAACAAATACAAATTATATGCTTATAAATTATTTATAATAATAAAAAAAAATATAGTAACATTAATAATCGGAACAAAATTTCAAACCCAGGTGTAAGTTATTAAGTAACATGAAAAGTTGATATGGCATTTACTGAGTTTCAAAAATAATAATATGCACTTTAAATATACGGCGATATTGATATTGTTCATTTAAAAAATGACGCATCCACCTCATTGCAATATACGAGCAAACAATAACTATAATCTTGCAGAATATTTGTATAAAAGCGACAAATATTTTTTTCTGTATCTTCTGACAAATATTTTTTTCTGTATCTCAAGGGTTGTGTATTCCTTCAAAGTTATCAATCGAGTTTAAGACAGCACAAAATGTAATATGTATTATTCTTATCATATTTTCGTCAAAACTAAAATTTTTTTTAAGATTATGATATTTTAAGACATCATGATTCATTTGGTGTGCCTTATAAAATTTTAAAAATCAATATATTCAAAAAAGTTCAAAAATGTGTATTTTTCAATTGGGATTTTTAACAGCACATCTTACTTGCTTCATGTCATCGATAATAGTATGAAATGATCTGAATAAAACTGTGTAATGGTAAGTAAAACTGCCATTAAGTACAGTCTAAACACAAAGGGTTGAAGCACCTCCTTTGTTCGTTTCGTTCGTCGTAAAGCAATCGATAAACGAATGAAGGAACCGACAATGTTGCGTCACACGAAGGAACGAAAGCTGATGTATTTTTCCGTTCTCGCGAAAAGACGTTTTCGATCTGATTTATTCTTTCATGTGGATGTACCTAAGTAAGATTAAGAAAATACTAGAAACGATGAAATATTCAATTAAAATACATAAGCAGTATCGTAGTCGAATGATTCGAGGACATAAATATGAGATATAGAAGAAGTATACTTAATTACAGTTAATATTATGCATATTAATTTGCTGAACTATTTTGAATCGTTTTTAAACTCTGAAATAAAATTGCAGTGCAAATATTTATATCAGTCTGTAATTAAAAAATGTTGTTGGAACTTATATAGTCAATTTTAGAGGAATGTATGTACTTAAAACATGCTTCGAAACCCTCATTTTATTTAAATAGGAAATAGTTTATGCCGAAATATTTGAAAAAAGTAAATTTTTTTTGGTAAATATAAATCCATAAAAATTTGATTTAGCATGGATTACTAATTCCAATTGCTAGAAAATCGTTAATACAACAGAATCCATTGTACCTCGTAAATTAGTAAATACCATTTTTTATCACATACGCTTTCTAAAATTTGTTTTACATTTTATAATTATCATTTTATATGTAGCATCCAAATACTATAAAAATTTATTAAAATAGTAGTAATATGTGTGCTCCATTATATGCAAAGTTATAGTTTCAGTGTTTAGAAAAAAAAAATGATTGTTTCATTTTAACGCAAATTCCGTCAGCACGAAAACAACCATAATATGGGAACAAAGACCATGACGAATCAACGTCCAAGGTTTGGCGAAGGTCAAAAGATATTGAGAAATACATTTGTCAGCAATGAAAAAAAGTTAAAAAAGTATTAGCAGATGTCGCCCACAAAAATGAAGCCAATCGTCACTAATGTCTTATTGTTTATTTTTGTACCGCCAGAGAATTAATTTCTCCTTATTATTATTATGTCCTGTTAGAAGTCAAGAATTGACCGAGTATGGTGAGTCACTTGTCTGCCTGTCTTCGGAAATAATCAGAATTTACAAATGGGAACATTTAATGAATTAATCAGACAACTCTGCTAAATTTCAAGGCTGTATTTGTAAAATTTGATTTCTTCCCAGATAAGTTACTGATCATTACTAATAATTCAAAATTCAATCAAGTAAATTTTCTACCAAAATTAAAAATCAAATCGTTATTTGGCAATTCAAACAAAATATTCAATGTACATCAATAATCAAAAAATAATTCATATTAAATTGCGGTTATTACTAATTGAGCCTACAATTATTATAAGGCATGTAATTAAAGCAAAAAAAAATTAAGTACGAATTACTGCTTAACAATGTTGATGTTTAATGATATTGAACTTTAAACCATAAAAATGTTTCCTCGTACCAAACAAATAATATGTATATATATATATATATATATATATATATATATCAGTTTTTTTTAAATATTGGGTATAACGATAAAAAAAATTATTTCATGATACATACCAAAGCGCATCGGCGACACAAATAATTACATTGGCAATATAGTTACTATAATAATTAATTATAGCATTATGTAAAACGCAAAAATTCCACTAGCAATTATCCAAAAAGGATAAACTATGTGATAAATGATCTAAACCAATTCATATATTTCTATATCATAATTCATACAAAAACAAAGATCATATCGAACATCTGGTCATGACGCAAAGATGTATTTCTGTTCAACTTACTAAATAATATTACATTTATAGATCTGCGTTGGCGATATTGATGTACATTTTATTATGAAATTTATACCAACGATGTATTCGTAAATATATTCAACAACCTTTGGCCGCCGTGATAAATTACTCTCTGCCATTATATGAATCAATGTCATACAACGTATGACGCTAATGTGACGCTTTTAATAAAAAAATGTAATTATCAAACACCTATACAATGCAAATATTTATGAAATGTAATGAATCAATAAAGAATAACATCGTTTTCAAATCGATTTATAACCTTTACGAAAAATGTAGGAGCATATTAATTGATTCAGATAGCGTGATATTGAGCTATTAAAGCAAAAAAATGGTCACATTGCAATACATATCAAATAAATTTTAAGTAAGATATTTTTAAAATTCGCAATTGTTAGAAAAAAATAAACAATAATTAAATTCATATGTAAATGCTCTTCTGATAAAATACATAATGCATTACACCAGCTACTTTATAGGCTTAGAAACATATGTTTGCCGTAATGCGGTCATGTGTTGCTTACATAGAAGGGGTACCCATCCATACTTAGAATTCAAATTATGAATATTCATATACACCGTACTTGTGTAATACAGGCGCTATTATCTGACGATTTCATTGTGTTATGAAGATAAATGAGAGTTTTTACACACAAAAGTTAAAATATTATTTAAATTTCAAAATAAATTTATTGTATTATATACTTGTATAATTAATGTATATATACAGTGAGTATAGGTAGTACTCCCCCAGGGCAGGTCCATGAGCTAAGTTAAACTCCAACTCAGGAAAGAATAGTGTGAAAAATTTCCCATTACCATTTTACCCAGCAGTGGTAATTTTATTCAGAAACATATTTTTGATCTATATTTTCAAATAAAAATTGACATCGATAAAAGAATAGGGTGCGGTACAAAAAGGATGGAAACTATTGCATTAAACTACGCTATTTGTGACTATGTTACACATTAATCAGATTTGCATTATGTTAAATTACTATTAGATGACATAAAGAACTGTATGTAGAAACGTTTGGCTGAATAAAGGTTCTACTAGAAAATTCACATTATTATTAATAAAACATACAAGGATATTCCTTATTATCTTTTTTTCAAGCACCGTCAATATAATTTAAATAAATTATTACGAACGTTCACGGCAACAATCAATAATATTTCAATTTAATGTAAGTTAATTTCATGATAAATTATGGTAAATTAATTATTTCTAACAAAGCCTAACGATATAATTAAATCGAGTGCCTTCGTGTTAGGGTTAATTAATAAAGTAAATGTTGCATTGTTAATTCATCTGTTCTAAATTTGGATTACACATCACGCTGACAAAACCATATGTAAATTCATTTGGCCACAACCCTAAGCTTTTAGTAGTGATCAAAATAGAGCATATTTCATCGTGATTAAAAATATGATAAGTTATTTAAATGATGACATAGTACATAAATAATCCCTTGAAGAATAAGCATATGCAAGGGTGTGTACAATGACTTTCTGTGTGAAAATGAGTAATATGTCATACTGTATTTTGATAAAACTGTCTCGAACTAATTAAAAGAATAAAAAATACAACTACTAAAATTAAATGATATAAAAGGTAAAATAATACTAGAAGTATATTCATACTTTGATAAACTAATTGAATGTTTTATGTTTGAAATGAAAGTAAATGATCAAAGCATAAGCTTCATGAAATAAACAGAATCCAAATTTAATAATGAACTGACTAATTAATTAAAATGAAATCCAAATAAGTGATGAATAAAAAATAACGTAAATATGAATTAAAATAATGTTTTCAGAAATAAAATGCAATATTAATTCATAATATAGGTGGTATAATGCAAAAACCGCATGTCGATATTTTATGCACACATTAAAATAAAAAAGTGAGAGCAATTTTATGATTTCGCGATTCAACGTGTGACCAATACGACATTTGCATTTTTTCTGAGTGAAAGTCTAATTGCAAATTGCGCATAATGCAATGACACTCATTAGCATCACAGATTGAGCCGGCCGAATGGCGTGTTTAACTGTTTAGCCAATTGTACATTGGTATAATTAATTGCGAAATGGAAATGATATGTATGCAAAATGATCAAGAATCACTAGCCAAAAAAATGGTTGGTGATGCCAAAATTACAATCGTTTACAAGATGTAGAATACGATATAATTGATTTTTACAATAAAAATTGAAGATATTTAAAGAATTTCAAAAACATTCAGATTCAAGTTTTCCAAAATCATGAATATTTTAATAATTAATGTGACTATAAGAGCAAATAATACTTATCTCAAATAAACTTAAATGAGCTGTATAGCTAAAGTTAGCATATTTTTTTTGTAAGAAATATATATACATGCGTATCAACGCTAAGGGTAGTACCTTACATTTAAATAAATATGTTTTTCACTATACACAATAGAATTTTTCGACCCTAAGATATTTTCATCTATTTTTTGAAGAAAAACCTACATTAAATCGTACATTTTCACA